ACATGCGTGGCTCCTTTTAGATACTTTTCCCGTCAAAAGCCCAAGTTGGCTACACTTTGGCTACTTTTTTTTTCTCAATTTTCTGGCTACTTTTCGTCTTGTGGACCTGAAAGCCCTCCCTTTGCTCTTCTTTGCACATGACTGGGTGAGAGAGTTTGTGATGTACTCGCATCCTCCTACGCAAAATGAGAATATTGCCAATTCAGGAGGTGACCTGGGGAACACCGACACGCAGATGGCTCCATAGAGAGGTAGATAGATAGATAGATAGATAGATAGATAGATAGATAGATAGATAGATAGATAGATAGATAGATAGATAGATAGATAGATAGATAGATAGATAGATAGATAGATAGATAGATAGATAGATAGATAGATAGATAGATAGATAGTACTAGTTCATTTCTACCGCAGTTCACTATTTCCTGCTTTCTTTTTTGACACTTTGGGTGGAGAAAACTCTCATTAGAGGAAAGCTCTGTGAAAGGAAATCATGAAGCTTTAAGAGACACAAAATAGTTTTTGAAATTTTGTCAGCATTCGGGCTACAACATCATCACATCATCCGCACCGTAATTTAAGTGACGCACCTTGTATCAAGGCTGGCAGCAACGGGAAATTATGTAGAACCCTCCGTCCGTGCACGGCCTTTCCTCGAAACTCGTCGAGTGGGCCACCGTCGTTGGCGACGACAGTGCTCTTCATGGGTTGAGTTGCAGCACTACCATCTTCGTGACCTCCACAATCAATTTCGGCAATTCGCCATCGGGCACCGGAAACTAAGAGGTTCGTGCAACGGTTGGCCCCTGCTACAACAGCTATCGCATCACAACCAGACGTTCATACTTTATTCTTCGGGACGTCGAGCATCAAAAAACGCCAACAGGCACGCGAAAAACAAAAGTGAAAGAATTGAAAGATCATCACCGATGGGCCTTGACTAGGGAAATATGGTTGCGTGTTGAGGGCTGAAGTTACAGGTACAGACACCTGGATCTTGCCGTTAATCGTACAGACCCGATACTCACTGCACAAACGACCTGAAACTCCTCCCAGTCCACACTACACTCATCAGTCGCCTTACACGCAGAAGGACTGATATTTGAACGAGTTGGGAGCAATAAACATATTGAGTGGTTTCAGCGTTATGCCAACGAGAACATAAGTAAGTAACAAAGCTGGCGTTGGAGTCCCTTATTTACGTTGGGCATCAATTTTATCATGCCGAAACAACTCAACATGTTTGCCTTACATGCCTGACATAGTGTCGCAGCTTTACAAGTCACCAATCTCAATATCTGCATTAAAGAACGCAGCTAGGTGAATTATGATTGTCAAAGAAAAGAAACCTTGCAATAAACACTGTCGTGCATCCTAGGTAAACAATGAGCGCGTTGTAACAGCAGCAGCTCACGACGCTCGTTTTCCACTAGGGCTTCAGTGACGGGAAGTGAGCATATTCGATCTGTTAGATCACCGCCGCTATACGTAAAATGGAAGCGGAAACTGGAAAACTTGTGCGGAGGCACCGCTGCGATCAGTGGTGGTTCGCATGTTTAAGTGTTTTAAGTGTTATAAAAAATCGCACGATTGACGCAGAGACATTAAATGGGTCGTAAAATTACGCTTATGACCTGAATAACCAGCTGAATGCGTCTCTAGGAAATTATCAGAACCGTTTTAGGGTCCTTGTAAGACTTGCCTTTTTCGGCTTTAATTTAAGATAGGTTTTCATTCTGCAGAAGAATTCTTTGTAGCCAATAACACGTGACTATTGTATTCCTTGGTGGTCACTGCCTTTTAAGATCAGAAGGTGCGGCAAATTTGAAGAAAAAAGTGACGTTTTGTTGTCTTCGGTATTTGTGAAGGTTGTCTCTTGGTGCATTTTTTCCACACTCGAAATTTTCAAAGAGCTCTTTTTTGTGATTCAAAATCAGTTTTATCGAAAGCAAGTAGCGAGTGAAAACGCACCTTAGTGCACGCCTCTTGTATAGGCGCTCTGTGCTTACTGTCTTATTTGCTAAAAAAAACTTCACGTACGAAAGTCAGAACGCTTGTCTAGAGTTAGCTGTGTATAACAGGTTGGAAAGTAACTTCTGGGGCAGTCCAAAGACACTGTGCGCCTTTATATTCAACCTTAATCTTCGAAGCACATTGGTCGAAGACTTCAAGCTCCTAGCTTCATTACACCTTGTGTGTGGGATGATTGTCGATAGGTTTAGATGCTGTGGGTAAAGAAAATCTTCAGCAAGTCAGAATCCCGCGGGAACCCATACAGTTCCCTTGTAAATGTTATTAACTGCCAGTAGCGTACTGAGGCATTGAACCAGCAAGCTCTTCAAAGTTGAACCTATTCACTTTTCCAGCGTCCTTTGAGGCAAATCGCGTGCATGATGACGACGGGTATGCTCTAATATGCACGACTACTATTTGTAGGGAGATCGGATAGCGCGTGCAAACGACCTATAGTATTGGCTTGATTGATATGTGGTTTTTAACGTCCCAAGGCCACCATACGATTATAAAAGACGCCGTTGTGGAGGGCTCCGGATATTTCGACCACTTGGGGTTCTTTGACGTGCACCCAAATCTGAGCACATGACCCTACAGCGTTTTCGCCTCCATAGAAAAGGCCGCCACCGCAGCCGGGCTTCGATCCCGTGACCTGCGGGTCAGCAGCCGAATACCTTAGCCACCAAACCACCATGGTGAGGCAGGCCCGCAGTAAGTGTTGAGTTAATGGCAAATGAGTACCAGAGTCTTTGCCGTCATTGTCTAGGTTCAGAGTGTTAAGGATTGCTACACTGGATATTGATCTTGCCTTTAATATTGGCAGCATTTTATGAACGAAAACTATGAAATATTTAGGATTGAAGCCTGGCCAAACTGCAATCAATTTGCTGGAAAATATTGACCAGGCTCGACGATACATTGCGAATAGAGCTACATGACATCTCACAAAAGAAGCAAGACAATCATTAAAAGCGGCCTCAAAGTAACAAAATTTACTTTCGAAATAATTACCAAACATCTACCTTATTAATGAAATAGTTCAATAGTTGAACAGAATTTGTGACAAAGTGTGATTGCTTTTCAGCCGTTTTCTATCTTTATAAAATCGATTATCTCAAAACTACAGTTTTATTATTTAGGGACCATTTTTTATGTATTGCAAGATAAATCGTTGAGTATTTTTTTGTGTTATGCATAAATGCATACAGCTACTGAAGCGGAACTGAAAATACGCACATTATAGTTTATGTGTTACAAATTTTCATAGATGCCAATGAACTCAAAAGTTCGGTGCTAGCAGTGAAAAACGCTCCAAAGTTATAGCGTTGGCCAAAATTTATTATACGCAATTCAATTCAAAGCGCAGAAAATTTGCGGAAAAATAATGAATAAATTATGTGTCACTAAGAAAATGGTGTCTCAAAATGACCAATAATGCATGGACGTACATGGCCTCCTCGGGCGTCTTATGTGAAGCCTGGAGCGTAGGAAAATGATAAATAAAAATTGACCCCGTATCTGCATGTTAATCTGTAAATGTCGTCGAAAAACGATAGTCTTGCATCTGGAGAGATTGCACAAAACGTTTATTTGATGCTCTGCGCAATAAAATCGGTGAATGCTATTCTGGAGGCGCTGCGTTAGAGTGTCTCGAGCGTGCAGTGGAGGCGAACGAGCGCACCAAGTCACGTCACACGTGAGACATGAGCGCTATCAGGTAGTTTTCTTGGAAAACAAAACACGTGGCTCTGAGACGGGCATGCGCGCCTGTCTAAGAGGTGATAAGGTGTAGAAAGCAAGGCGATGGGTAGGTGCCACCACCCGTCTTAGCAAAGCGTTGGAAACACTTCCCTTGTCGTGCAAGCGTTACATGGTCAGCGCCGTGTGATAAACGCTGCTGTCCTTACAATAACCTATTTATGCCTTTTCTAGCAAAAGACACACATACAGAATATATACTTGTTGTTATGGTGCATGATATATGCGATATGCACGATAATTCTTTTTAATTGACAATCGCACAAGTATGAACGCTGAAGCTTGAGCAACATTGGTGGGTGCTGCGGATGGGGTCGGCCGTTTGGTATAACCGCTAGTGCCGTTGAAAGTGCTCAATACCGTTAAAGTGTGGACAAACAGACAAATAGACAGACAGACCAAAATTTTTGCGTTGAAGTTCCCCAAGACAGACTATCGTCTTTAAAAAGGGGCCTAGGGTTTCTGATGGCGAATCACGTGAACACCAAACCACGACGCGCTGCTGAAGCCAAGAGTTGCCGAAACGGGGCTACCACTTATTCATATCTCGGGCCCTACGTTTACAAAACAAACTGATAAACACTCTTATGCTTCCAGCTGTCATCTGGTATATGAGGGCTCGGCTGTGCCAGTTGCGCAATCTTCTTGCCCAATTGCAGCAATGTGAGCATGATAGCAGTGGCCCCGAAGGCATTAGGGAGTTTTAGAATACCGTTTGCAAGCGCTGCGGTCGTAGCGGGCGCCATATGAGTTTTAGAATAGCGTTTGCCCTGCTGCGATCCGCAACGCACGATTTCAATGACACCATAGGCTCGAAACCAGCGTTTGCGGGCCACATGCGGGCCGCCATTACCACACGCAATTTCGGATTTTTTGCGTGTGGTCCGCGAACGCGTACGCCGACTCGCGTTACGACGCATGCGCAGTGGCAGTGACCACACCGCAAAGGCTCGTGGTGCGCTATTCTAAAACTCCCTATTATGTTGCCGTGAGCACCCGCAGAGTTGCTACGACGCTGAAAAAAATGACGAGCAAACCTGAGCTGCGCAATGCTATTTCTCGACACAAGGCTTTGGTAACACGGCATTGGTAGCCCATGCGCAGTGCAGTCGTCGTGTGTGTTCTTGCGAGGACAAATTTAGCTAGGAATGAAACAATGTAGAAAAAGTTCATGAAACTAGATGACAGTGATTCGTTGTCGATGCCTTCCCGCCTTTTTTTTTTAGGTGGCCGAAAGGTGCCTAAAGGCACAGACATTCAAGTTGCCATTTACAACCTACATCATGACGAGCAAGTGTTTCCCAAACCGGATGAATTCAGGCCAGACAGATTTTTCCCTGAAAATGTGAGAGGAAGACATGCTTTTGCGTTCGTTCCTTTCTCAGCTGGCCCAAGAAACTGCATAGGTGAGTTTGTGGTTAGGTAATTGCTTAGCTAGTTCCATCGATTTTACTTATTCTTTTTAATGTTGTTAAACGTTTTGAATTTTTCGTGAAGTGCATTTTTGGCAGTGCATTTCAGTACTGCTGTGAGATGAGTCGTGCGAACTCTCATAACAGCTGTAAAGGGTATTAGATGAAAAAAAGTTGTTTAGAAAAAGGTCAACGCAGTCGATAAAAACAATGAAAATGAAGTTTGCTAGTGAGGATAGAAAAATGTCAATTCTGATATGTGCCTTTGCATAGAAGGATAATTATAGCGCGAGAATAGAACGATAACAAAGAGAAAAGAAGGACACGAGTGCTCGTGTCTTTCTTGTCTCTTCGTCATCGTTCTGTTCTCGCGCTCCTATAATCATCATGTCATACCAACTAGCCCAAAGAACCACACTTTTAATTGTGCATAGAAATATAATTGCTTTAATTAAAAATGAGAGCAGGAATCAATACTGAGTCTTAAGGGTAGGTGTGTTAATTCAATAAATGAATTAATAATTATATTACTTTCTTGAAAATATGTTTACTTCCCAGTTTAGAATAAACATAGTCAAGTAACTGATAATTATACGCAGATGATATATTTGCGATGTTTGACAGACATGCTCAAGTAGAAAATGAAATGAAGGAACAACCTAAATAACCATAATGTGAACGATTGAGCAGGTGGAAGTCACAAATATTTTCAGAGGCATTGTCATAAATCGTGTTCGCTCACGAAACCCTAAAAAACTTGTTTAAAATTGTAGCTTTTTAGGGTATAACAAGAAAGAGAATGAGAGAGTGAGAAACCGCTTTATTTGCACCCTTGAGTGAATACAGGTTATAGGGGTGACAAGTTTGAACTGTACCAAATGATTCGCGTCATATTTTAAGCCTGGGGCTCTGAAGCATATGGAGCATGTTGGTCTCATGGAACCATGGTCAGCTACCTTAAGCGACAAGGAAGCCCCCCCCCCCCCCCTTCACTGCTTTTATGCAAGCATTTTTCATTGCGGTTACAATACATTTATATGCGAGCAATAAATCAAGAAGAACGTGTCCTTTGTGGCCAAATTGTTTTGCGCCATGCGTTCAGGTGCGCGTGGTCGTAGGTTCAGCAGCCAGGGGCAAAATGTTTTTCTTCCATTTGTTTTTCTCTTTGAGATCTGTTGGTGTATATTCTACAACGTCATATCCGTGATTATATATATATATATATATATATATATATATATATATATATATATATATATATATATATATATATATATATATATATATATATATATATTCAAATATTTCGAGGATATTATGATATGAACAATGGAATAAGTCAAAACCTTTCAGGCCGCAGTGATTCAAGAGGAATGGGGGAGTGTAAGATAAGAGCTCTTCGCCGTTGTTTAACAGCGTTCCATCTGCCTCCCACTTTTCTCCATAACGAGTGGCGTCGATTAAATTGCTAGCACGCAGATTGGCTCAACTGGAAAGCTCTTGCGTAGGTCCCCTAATTATACAAAAAACTATCGCTACAGGCTCGGTGTGTTTGTACACGGTCTTCAAAACCGCGATAGGGCGGACTTCGTTGCTCAAAGCTCGTATGCTAAAATTTATGTTCTTATACAGGATTTTGTTGTTTCTTTATCGTTCTCCATGACTAATGTTAGGGCCTTAGCTTAATGTTTCATGTCAATTCGTCGATAGATTATGAACAGTAAATAGAGCTAGAATTCACGAGCCACTGCGATCAGTGTATATTGCATTGATTGATTTGTTGGGTTTAACGTCCCAAAACCACCATACGATTATGAGAGACGCTGTAGTGGAGGGCTCCGGAAATTTAGACCACCTGGGGTTCTTTAACGTGTACCCAAATCTGAGCACACGGGCCTACAACAGTGTATATTGCATGAGGTACCAAAAGTAAGTATATGTAACCAAGCATGTGGTCATACAAACTTGTTTCCTGACGTGAATGACCTTCATTTTAGACCTTTGCGAATGCCGTCCTGAAAGACTGAATTTAGCTCATTCGTTTTCGGTTATAATGATGGCTATTCACATGTATGTTTAAATTTAGTAACACTACTGAAGTTTAGACTGGTTCTCGATTATGCTATTATATGCAGTTTTCGCGAATGTAGATCGAGCGACAGGAAAATAGAATTTTCACGAAGATTATTCGCTAAAAATGTATGAAAGTATTAACCAACTTGATTTAGAGTAAGATAACAAACTCTCTTGACTTGTAACCTAGAAAACAAGATAACTTCGCGAAAGGGTACTCTACTATGAATTACATTCATTCGAACATCAGAGTGTTTGAGTAATCAGCCGGCTACAAAAGCCCCTACATATGACGTTCATACACTGTAAAAATGAGTAACACTAGGTAGAGACACTATCGGTTCTGGAGGGATTCCTTTGATACGGAACACTTAAAAAGTATGCGAACACTGTAGCCAATGCATGCAGAGACCCAGCAGCTGCTCGCTGCTCTTCAAGAATAGCGGGAAACTTCTTATCGAAAAAATGATGCTGTGAATAAATTGAAGAATATAGTCCTTCAATCAGTTGAAGAGGACATGTCCATTTCGGATAGTTATTCACACGGGAGGCAAATCATGTGAATGAAATCCACTGAATAATAAGAATGAGTTGGGGCATCAGTTTTGTAGTCATTTTTGGTAAATTGCTAGAGTCACTGCGGCAAGAAGCGTAACACAATTGTGTTTTACCAGTTGTAACATTGGGGGACAGAAATTTGAAGAAAAAATTTATAGGGCCCCTTAAGCATTCGCCTCAGACAATTAGATGGCGAAAGCTATCCTTTTCTATCTTCTCAGTCTGTTTATTGATTTTCTTTTACTACCCTCTAACCCCCCCCCCCCCCCCACCTTCCCCCGGAAGCTTTCAGCACCTAACGTTAGTTAGGTCTTGGAACATCGGAGGCATTGCGAACTTTCTGGACCTTAACAAGCTTTGTACTGCCTCCCTGATCAGCCCACCTTTCACAAAGCGATGGTGTCATGTGAAGGCGTCATGATGTGACGCCAGGACGCCGTCATAAATCCGACGATATGTGACGTTATCACGTGTTGGTGATTTTTCGCATCGCTCGCGTTAACGCCGCCGGCACTGACTGTCACTTTTTGTGATTGATAAGGCATCTGAAGCTTTCGACTTGAAAGAAATTGGAGATGTGGCTGATAACCCCGAGTGTTCAGTGGAACGAAAGGTGATAGTTACAACTCTAATAGATAGGAAGGCATCAGAAGGAATCATTGAACAAGCGGTTGGGGCCGATATCGTAGACCTACAAGAGATTAGGAGGCAAAATATATCTTGCCTTACAAGAAAGAAAAATGGCAGCTCTACTACTGTGCAACCTGAGGAAGTACGTCGCTCGTGCACGCAGCGATTCCCGTATACGTAGAATTCCCACTGCTCCATTTACCAAGGTGCCAATGACACTCATGTTTTAGGTAAGCCTGTAAGGTTTCCCTGGCGCTTGTCGACTCTTGTTGCATAACAACGTAAATGTAGCGCCAAAAAATACGGACAAGAAAGGATACACCACATGCGCTTACTCACCACCATGGAGCAGTACCAACTCGCTCGCCTATCGGTTTTGACTCTTGTTGGGCAGATTGACAAACTCGTTGGGCGACATGTGCGCTGCTTTTTGCTGAGCTTCGCCGACTTCCTGCTAGTTACAGCAGTTAAAATACGCGTCGTCTGCAGTGAGTTCTTTCCGATTGCATCCCTCTTCAGATGTCACGTAGCGACGCAGTGCCGTAAGCAGAGACAGTGCACCACTCATCGAAGTGGTTGTGCCTTCTCTTGTGCCTCGCCTATGTCCGCCCCTCGATTTCGAAACATTTTAGCGACCCTAAGTTGACTCATACCACTATCTTTTGACAAGTTCTTCTTTACGACCAAATCCTCGTAAATGCTCGTAAATGCACTTAGGCCTCCACATAGCAAGTGATCTCTCGTCTTCTAAACACATCGACAAATTGCTAGGAAATCGCAGGCGCAAGTTAAGGCGTGTATTGAAATTGTCCACACCAGCAGTACATTTGCTAGTATATAAAACACTCTTTTGTCCTGTTTTAGAATACGCCGTCATCATATGGGACCCGTTCAGTAAAACCCACATTGCAAAATTATAAAGCTCGTGGAAAAAAGCTGTTTTATTTATGTACAATACGTATGGCTGCACTTCAGTCACTAACCTCGTATCTCAAAGTGGCCTACCTGTTATAAGTACTCGAAATCGTGTGTTTCGACTAAAATTCTTTTTTCAGTTGATAAAAAGTCAGTACAAGATAGACACGTGACAACCTTCATATACGAAGGGTTACGCTACCAGACACACACACTCACTAGCCGTTACTCCATTCACTGCACGTGTCAACTGTTAACAAGTACTCTTTCTTTCCAAGAACGATAGTCGATAGAAACAAACTGCCTGATAAAACTGTTACACAAGACTCACTACCGCAATTTGCGTCACACCTTCAATAGTAATCAGTTTCCTTATCTAGCTAAGATGTTTATTTTGCTTTTTTTTATTTGTGCTAAATGGATTCTCTGCTCGATGTGAAATTTGTAAGAATAACGTCGGTTGCCTTTTTTTTTTCTTTCTCGAAAGCGCGTGTATAAAGATATTCATATATTCGTTTCCCATTGCTATTTTCCTTTTGAGTTCAGTTGTTATGTACCACGCTGCCAATATCTTGAAGAAAGATCGCAGTATCTATAAGTATAAATAAAAAAAAACAGGTGGGAAGCGTGGCCGAAAACGTACAAGGGTTCAATAAATGCGCGGCAGTTCGGGCTAATTGGTATGACATGATGATAGTTATAGCGCCAGAACAGAACGACGACAAAGAAACAAGAAGGACACGAAGGACACGAGCGCTCGTGTCCTTCTTGTCTCTTTGTCATCGTTCTGTTCTATAAGTCTTTCGTAGCACAGTTGCTTAGATATAGATCGGAGAAGCCTTCTCTTGCAGTGGACATACGACACGCTGGTCCATAAAATAATAATAATAATAATAATAATAATAATAATAATAATAATAATAATAATAATAATAATAATAATAATAATAATAATAATAATAATAATAATAATAATAATAATAATAATAATTTATATTATTATTATTATTATTATTATTATTATTATTATTATTATTATTATTATTATTATTATTATTATTATTATTATTATTATTATTATTATTATTATTATTATTATTCCGATATTTTCTCGAAACAATTGCAGAATATTAGCCAAGCCAAACAATCAGGATCAGACATCCAACACGTACTTTAAAACTTGCTACCGTGATGACTGAAGAATGGCGTGTCATCTCATTGGGCTGCTATTTATACTGTCTTCACAGTTGAGCCCATGCTCACAACGCTGCTTCAACAAGTTTGCCTATTAATACGTGAATATTTACTGCCACTCCTATTAGGTCAACGTTTCGCCATGATGGAAGAGAAAGTCGTCATTGCCAACATCCTTCGTAACTACAAGCTGGTTGCTCTACATTATCGAGACAAGATTCATGTCATGGCGGAACTCGTCCTGAGGCCAACAAGTGGTCTGCATGTCAAATTCATTCCGAGAGAGTCTGCGAAGCAGCAATGAAAAACTCTGCGAGAAATATTTCAGTAGGTTTAAGCATTTCCCACATGTTGCTTCAATACCAACAGAATGAATGGTTTCTGTGAGTTTGTGTGTGTGTAGGGAGTGTCTAAGTTTTGTTGAGTTTGCTTACTATAACGAACGGACGATGGTATAAAGATGACATTACTAGTCCAGAGAGGCGACATGACCGGTTCACAGCTTCCAGGTTTAGTAGAACATACGCCAGCAACAGTGGCCTCAACTGTATACTTATACTTGCAGCTTTCTGTTGTTATGAACAATGACAACCTCTGGCGTACCAAATCACAAGGCTACTGTGGCTTTCACAGAAAGCGCTGTGGAGCAATTTGCGCTAATTGGAAACAACTCGGGTACTTTAATGACATTTAAATGGTAACAGTTATGTATAGGGACTCATTGTGTACCGCATTGTGTCCTATGATAAATAAATAAAGCATAAACACTGTGGAAACCTGTACGATTGTTACCTAAGTAAAACATTATTTTTAGAAAAGCTGTTGCACTATGCTTATCTAAGTTGTACAAGTTGTGAAACGTTGGTTGCATGTACTCGTGGATAACACGACATTATAGTTGCTAGAATGTGTCAATGAACCGGGCTAATTACGGCGAGCAAATGCTCGTAAATGCAAATAAAAGAATGCTGAATGACTCATACTATCATGTTACTCTATGAGGTCTACGTGCACCTGAATTTAAACATATTTTTCTACAATTCGTTTAATTGTGTTATTTGTGTTACCTACATAAGCGGACCATGCAATATTGTCGCACAACTTTGCACATATTTTATTATTTGTGGGGTTTAACGTCCCAAAACAACTTTGCACATAACTTAACCATTTTTTTGAGCCAGTATGTCGCGCATTTTTTTGTATATGTGCACATTACTTTCATTGAACCTTCGTGGTGTCGTTAAAAAGTGGCTTCTTATAACCTTCGGGAGTGAGAAGCAGTAAAGCTACCTTATTGGTAGATAATTCTTTTCACTGTTTCACCTCATTATGTACCTTGACAAGTGACTGTAGATAGATAGATCATAGATAGATAGTAGATAGATATAGATAGATATAGATAGATAGTGATAGATAGATAGATAGATAGATATAGATAGATAGATAGATAGAAGATAGATAGATAGATAGATAGATAGATAGATAGATAGATAGATAGATAGATAGATAGATAGATAGATAGATAGATAGATAGATAGATAGATAGATAGATAGATAGATAGATAGAATTCAGGGTCCCTGGAAGACTTGCCCACTTCTGCTTTAACATACGTTTTAATTCTGCAGAATAATTCTTCGTAGCTTATAACACGTGACTATTGTTTTCCTCGGTGTTCACTGCCTTTTAAGGGCACAAGGAACGGCAAAATTTGAAGAAAAAAGTGACGTTTTGTTTTCTTTGTAATTTGCGATGGTTGTCTCTTCGTGCATATTTTCCACACTAGTAATTTTTTAAAGAGCTCTTTTTTGTGATTCAAAATCACTTTTGCAGAGGTCAGAAAGGCGTTCTTTTTTCGTTTTCATTGTCTGGTATTGTATCACAGTTGGCGTTCTAGATGCTCAATTGGATTATCATGATGACATTGCTGCCTCTGGGTGCAATAAATTAAAAAGCGAGTGTCCTTTGCGGTTATTGTGGAAATGCGATAAAACGCGAAATCAGTTCAGTGTATCTCAAAGTTTTTCTTGACTATTGTTGTTTTACTAAGTATTGTTTTGCCTCGACTACTGACAAATAATTCATCGACACATGCAGTGGCGTTGATCACCGAGTCACTATGCCAAATAAAACATGTATTTGTAGTAGGTTCAAGCGCTCCTTTGAATAATAGTGTGGTGTACCAGAACCCTCCAAAACTTTAATAGATTTTGTGGTACGTCTATCACGAGATGATATTGAAAAATAAAAAATACGTGCCTCTATTCATCGCTTGAGGATGGGTGCGAGGTAAGCGTAACCGCTATACGAAGCTATCACAAACGTACGCTCTTATGAGCCCACTACAATTGCCAACTATAGTAACGTAATTCTCCACTTCTGGTGTTCGTCACAAGTATCACGAAGAATTAAAACTCGAAAATGTTGGGTTATAGCCGCATTTGAACTGTAGCTTTCTGCACGAAAAGTATTCTGCCACAGAGCGAAGCCATAAAAAAAAAAGGGTGCTAAAGAGGCACCAAGGTTAGTGAAGAATTGCGTTAACAGAGGTAATAATGCGTGGCGAAATAATATAATAATTCCAAGTGTCACACTGTATGGTAACTGCATTATGAGTTTGTTATTTAAAGCTTCCCATCATTTAAAAATACTAAGGTATTATTCTTCACCATAAGAAGCCACTGCATCAACTAAGTGTGCAGCTATGTAGGTGTGCACATTGCACTCCCGACGCGTTACTTCTCAGTATCGCGTTACTTCGCAGTATGATAATAATCTACGGGTAGTAGGTATATCGCCAATGTACTCGCAATGGTCGCCTTAGTAGTTTACAACATGCATTACGATGGCCGCATCTCCAGCATTGACTGTGCTTGCGCTCAGACCTGTTTTTCCCCCATTATACTGCGTAGTATTTATTCTAAGTTATAATAGATTACGAAGTTGCTGTTATCGGTATTTCGCCGGGCATTCGTCTAAACTATGACAATCACCACTCCCAATAGAGGCCGGTATAGTCACTAACTAAATACTAACCATTCACTCGTCACAAAAAACACTAGCCTCCTAGTAAGTAAAGGTAGTAAAATGTAGGCTATCGAAATTTACTACTAATGTATTCAGTGAATAGTGCTGACTCTAATGGTTAGTTCAATACTAAATTGTTAGCAACCACACTAGCAGCCTAATAACTGTATGATCTCTGATGAACTAGAATAAGTCAAATAGATGTTCACGCCTATTTTGTGTGTGCATGTGGTTTGCCGTATCAAGATAGTTTTATTACAAATGTATAGGATAAGAAAAACGAAGTTGCATTGTTCTCAAACAATAATAAATGGCCACTAACTACTTCAATTATTACCGTGGTAAGTGCGCATTTTAGCAACATACTCATAAGTAACCGATCACATATTTATATGTCCATAAGTATGAATTAAATGTGATATACGACATATGATCATATGAAGCACATATATCATATATGACTTCTCAGTGAATATGTGAACTTATATGAACGGATCACAAGTGAGAACACACATGCGAACGCAGACACAGAATTGCAAGTGTTTTCTACTCTAGCAGCAGCACAAAGGCTATTTTAGCCCGTACTTTGAATGGCACATCGTGTACTGGTTAGCAGTCCAATAATTTAGAAGAATAGTTTACGTTTGCTACATATCATCATGTGCCCTTCTATATATTTGGTTATATATGTGCCATCGCGTAGCACGAGACTTCTATTCCGAGGTACTCAACTTCGCTCAAATTTTGCTCAAGAGGGTCACGAATATGGTAAAATATGCTGCGGCCTAATGTGGCAACGTAGATGGCTAAATACTTACCCAATAAAAAGCGCGAAGAACACTTCACTGATCAGGAACGGCACCACCTACAAGCTTTACTAGCTGCTGGCTAATAAAGCGATGCCGCGAAGGTAGTAAAGTAAACTGGCAACCTGCGTTTACTGTTTACTAACACTTTCTTTAAAGAGTGATGAATGACCTCTACTTTTCTAGCGCGTGCATACTAATCCCTCAATTAGCGTGCTCTCACGCTACGCCAATTTGTCCGGCTTGGATTGCAACAACTCCGGTGAGTGCGACAACGAGCACAGAGTCGAGCGAGAGAGACAAAATAGAAATGGAGGCGGGGATGAGAGAAAAATGGAGCCAGCTTCGCTTCGCGAACACCGATGCCACAGCGAAACTGATGGTGTTTCTTTTGTCAGGCTAACGCATTTCGATGTTTGTTGCAAGCCTTTCGGATATCCTTATTGAACACTTTTAGTTAAGCTGTGAGGTGGTTGCATACTTTCATTGCATCTTGATCATACTACTTCCCTCTTATACACAGGTTTACACAGAAGCATTCGCTTAAAATCAGCGATATGTTGCGTTCCTGCTCTTTATTAAACACTCTTTGTTAAGCTTTGAGGTGGTTGTA